CACGGGTATTATTTACTCCAATGTTATCTTTTAAATTTAAATTCGTCTATTCGCTTGATGAATTGGATTTGTGTTCAAAATTTAAAAGCTTAACTTAAAACAAAAAAGTACGGCAAATTAACAATATGTATTTTGTTTCTCAATAAAAAATTTAAAACGAACAGTGCAATCAACTGAACTACTGGGATTATGTTTGTTTTCCTTAGGACATGTAAATGAGCGAGCAAATCACATTAAATAATACTTAACTGTTCCAAAAAAGAAAAAAAAATGCTGAATTTTACAATTTATGAACGGATTCTTACTTAGTTTATAAAGATTTAAATTTATACTTATTTTAAGTATTTACAGAAGTCTTTAGGAACCAATACTGAACTTTAAAAAATATTATTGACTCTGGATGTTTACTAAAACACTTAAATTATCTTCCTTTCTATCAAGTATACACCCATATCTCTTTACTCATTTATCGTAAAATAAAAAGAAATATTTTTTTTCTCCTCAACTGGAGGAAGAAAGCAAAACTCTATTATTGTCAGTGAAGTCTTATTAATAGTGAAAAAAAGTTAAGGTGAACAAGTAAACGCAAAAAGAGATAAAAACGTAAACATGCTTGGACGTCTATGTATCTAATGAAATATTCAAAAAGTGCATAAAACCCTTATTTCCTCGAAAAACCTAATAAAAATTGGATGTCCAACGTCTTACATCATTTACGATGTCTTTTCTCCCCTGTTTCCTTGCAAGTGGGCGCCGAGATTTCTTCAGACATTATCGATTTTTTTTCCTCGCACTGTGCAAAAAGACTAAATAAATAAATAAAAGAAAAAAGTAAAAAAAAGAACGAAATGAGTAATGCTCTTGAGAGGGGATATATGTGTGTATTAGAATTATATATGTGCATGGATATACTAAATGGAGACAATGAATTATTTATGCAAAACCAATAAGTTAAAAAAAAAACATGAAGAAAATTTTTGTACATGCAACTAATTCTTTTATTTACATTACCAAACTGTTCAAATAATTAAATCTATAAATAAGTACAACTAAATAAGTAGAAAAAAAGAAATGAATTAAGTTAAGATATTGAAAAAGAAATTTATCTTTGGATCAAAATTATGTATGTGTCGAGTATACAAAATAGAGATAAGATATATTTCTATACCTCATAATAGGTGAAAAAAAAGAGCAGGCAGAAATTCTTTTTGAAAATGACACTGAGGAGCGAATTTTTGTTGCATTTATGCAAATGCTTGATCATGCCTAGTCCGGGTATACAGATTGTAAATTTGATTTTTTTTAAAGTAATATTTCTAGTCCGTTGTCGAAATGTACAAAGATTGAAAACGTCTTTTTAAACGTGATGATATGCCCTAAATCCCTTAGAAGTTTGTTATATATAGTGTTTTTTTAACGTTTTTTTACTCAACATTTACGCGACCCCCTGTTCAGCATAATGATTTTGAACTTGAACATTTCGACAAAAAATAAACTAAAAATAACATTTAACAAATTTAGTTTGGAGAAACTGATTGCAAAGTTGAAACCAGTAATACGAAAGTATCTACGATCTGTTAAAAAACCCAGTGCAGTCAAATAAGCTTTCCTTAGTGTAATTAACGCGTTTACATTAACCAATTATTGACCTCAGAATATTTTAAGCATAGTTGTAATAATGCGCGGCACGATTTCACCAAAATATTTATTCAACACAATTCTGACACTAATATACACTGGTGGACAAAATTAAGAGACATTCATTCGCACATGCAAGATACCCGCACACCGCTCCATGTGTTTGACAATGGTTCCGTGAATGCCTTGAGGTACAGGCAGGAGGTCCTAGAGCCCTGTGTGCGTCTTTTCAAGGGCGCTGTCGGCCCTGAGTTCATTTTTATGGACAACAATGCGTAACCACATAGGGCTCTCATGGTTGATGAGTAACTGAAAAGCGAGGGTATTCAACGGATTCCCTGACCTGAATCCTATTGAACATGCTTGGGATGCTCTTGGGAGAGCTATTGCGATGCCCCAACCTCCCCCCCGGAACCATTCTGAAGTTAAAAATTGCTCTGGTGGAAGAATGGGAGGGTCTTCCACAAGTCCTCCTTAATTCCCTTAATAACAGCATGCATACTCGTTGTGCATGCTGTCTGTCTATCAGGGGTGACCATACACTATACTAGAGGCAACACACACAGTACAAGCCTCACTTTTATCGTCATCTTTTATCCTTAAGTTCAGACTGCATTGGATTTATTGGCAATAGGTCTTGCCAGTGAATGGCACTTTAATTTTTGATTTGCATACTTTATTATCATGAAATAAGCTATATCCATACTAAATTTCATTTATTTATATTAAGTATTTTTTGAGATATTGGGGATCCATCTCTTAATTTTGCCCACCAGTGTATATAAATCAATTTTTGAACAGCACAATTTTTAGGATAAACGTTAGCTCCATTTAATTATTAGTTAATAATTCTTTCATTTGCAGAACTACTGAAATATAGCTTTGTTGCTTAATTCTTGAAGGAAACAATAACATCAATTGAAGGGATGCACCTAGAGCCAAAAAAAACCAGTTGTATGTTCCGTATTGATTAATTCCTAAAAACTAAACGACATATTTATGTTATGAGATACTTTGTCGACATCGAAATCTTTATAAATCATGTTGAAATTAACAAACAATCCGGATAAATGATCATTATAATGCGCGTATCTCGATAATTTATAAGATAAGCAGATTTCAAAAGTCATACTTAATCACGATGAGGCTTAATATTTATTAGAAGTTGCGTGCTTAATAGTGCAATTTACGATCCATAGTATTGAGGAGATTTAAAGAAATTGATCCAAACTATCAAAGAGACACCAAAGATTAGTGCCTTTGCCTAATTCTCAAAGAAAACCCTACCATTAATATAAGGGGTCCACATAGAGCTAAAATGACCTGCTTCCTACAGTCTACTGGGCAATCATAGGAGAGGATCTTAACGGAACAGTAGTTAATTACTGCGAACAAAACGAAATAGTTCCATTATCGTTTCTAGACCATTCATCTTTCTGGAAACAGCAGTTACAATCGTACATTATGGGATTAGTGATAAACCTAAGGAAATTCTGATTAAGATTTATTTTGCTCTAAATGTAAACCATAAGACATGAGATCACCTAATTTATTTCTTTGGTAAAGAATATTTTTCTAATCCCTTTGTATTATTAAAACTGATTAAAATAAATAAGTGGAAAGAAAAATGAGACATAGTTCTAATGTAAAAGAAATATTAAAATAATTTTTCTTGACTGATCTATAAAACTTGGTACTATGGACATGAGTTTCTATCTAAGATTCTCTAGTTGGTATGTTATATTCACTGATTAAAATAAATAATCAAATAGAAAAATGAGACACAGTTCAATTATAAATGAGTAATTAAAAAAAATTCTGGACTTATCTATAAAATTCGTACTAGAAACGTGATTCTCTATTGTTATAATTTTATGTCTCGAAAAAAAACGTAACAAATCTACTCACTAAATTTAAACTCTTAATAGTCGCATTTGAAGAAAACGGTCTTAAAAGTATCTACATATTTATTCAAAAAAATATGTAAAAATAAGTGTCAACACAGTATATGTATCCCTTTTGAACTTTTGGGTTGATTTTAGAGTTAATATTTGATATTTGTTTACATCCAGTTTAAAATAAACTATCTTTAAATATATTACAAATCTGGTAATGTTGTGTAAATTGAGAAATGGACATGAATTCGGGCATAATATGTGTCTTAGTCTCTTTGGCGCTTAACTTTTGAACACTCCAGCCCAGAAATTTCATGAAAGCAAGAAATAGAGGCCAAAACTTCACGCCCTCATTTTGACGGTACGAGAAAGAACTGGTAAAAGTTATAAAATTTTAAGTTAACTGTTTAAGAGCATAAATAATTTAAAAGATTACAAAAAAAAAGCCTATTAATTCAGGAATAATTGAAAATCTTCAGATGAATTGAATGAAAACAACTGAATCTTTTTTTTGTAAAAAATAATTAATTTAATGGTGAAAGTTGTAAGGCAAAAAAAGAGTTCTCTCCAAAATCTTAAATGGTAATAAGATTCAGCTGAGATAAAATTTAGGACCGAAGATCATGAGACATTGCCAGCTCATTTTGAAAAATATTATGCAACCTTGATTGAAAAAAAAATCCTTATGAACCAAGAATCAACCTTACAATTGGCTTTTGCCATGTTTATAAAGCTAAATGCACTTAAAAGTTGTGCCATGCATATTGAGCAACGCAGTCTCAAAACAAATTGTTTTTCCTGCCTGGTCTATTTAATATTTCTGGTCCATATTATACGAGGGTATTAAAATATATAATATGTAATAGTGGGTTCCAGGGTGTTGAAATATATTAATTCAAAATACATTAGAAACCTTAAATAATTTCCTGATCACGAAATAAACAAGAAAAACGGATATTGAATGGATAATAGTAATTTTGAGTGCAACAGAAAATTCCAGCAAATTTTTCTCATTAAGGCAAAAATGGTCACTTAATGTGGTTTAAATAAATTATAGGTAGAAATATTTTAAAATTTTTAAACATTTGGTTGTGATGTGTACACTATTGATAGTAATTTTTTATTGTGAGAGTCAAAGTTCAAACTAAAGTGTTTCAAACTGAAAATACAATAGCATAACGAAAATACATTTTAGTCAATTTAAGATACTCGAATAAAATTAGCAATTCAATGAATAAAATTACGTATGAATGTCATACGTAGAAATTTTCAAAAAAAAACTCTGTTAAAAAGTGACAGAAAACAAAGTATATTTATTAACTAAATGAACAATTTTTAATATTTTATCAAAGTTTTCATTAGCCAATTTTTAAGCATAATCAGTTAGCGATTACCCTGATTGTCTCTAATTTACCCAGACATATTTTAATCAGTTATTAACATCAGTATTTTAATAAAAAATCTTACTTTTATTTGCTCTGGAATCTTCTGATTGAGACATATCTGAAAAATAATTAGAGAATATAATAAATTAAATTAATTAATAATCGTTATTAATTATTTAAATTTTATGTTTAACATTTCTTAAATAATTGAAACTTTCAATCTGCTTATTTTTATAATTACTACCTGTTTTATAAGCTATTAAAAATAATTTCATATATTGATCACAATTCCAACATTGTAGTTTTTTAAAATAAAATATACGATTCTAAAAAAAATACGAACCAATAGTTACTGCCCAATTTTCTTTTAAATGTGTGCCAGATTTATTAAGCTCTTGAAACAAAAAACGCTATTTAAAAAATAATCAAATATCTCTTGAATTTATTCCATTACTTAGCTAATCCCATTACTCAAGTAAATATAGTTACTACTTTAACTTTCCTCATAATCGATTAATGGAATATAAATCATACTAAATTCAACTTCTGTAGAATATCATTAAATTCTACTTTTTTTTCACTTTTACTATAACTCTTGCCACATTAATTTATATAATTACCAAGAATTTCGTGTAACATGATTTTTCTTTATCTTTATAATTATCCTCAATATTATATAATATTACACTTGTTATCAACGTTATAATGCCAATATTATTAAAGTAAATATCGTCACTATCAGTGTAATATTCTCGGAATATTTTTAGTCTTAGTTGTGTAGCTAATTGAATCCTCTCTTAAACATAGTTTTCCTTTACTCATTTTTTTTATTGCTCATTTATTTATTTATTTGTTTATTTACTTTACTTTCTTCTACGACATTTATTTAAGAAATTAACAACATTTTTGCTTTATTGTTATAATTATCATTAACGTTATATAATAACACTTGTCCTCAACGTTGTAATATTATACTTATCAGCATTATTAAAGTAAATACATTCACTATTAGTGCAACATCCTCTGAATAATTTGATTACTAATTGAGTAACTGATTCCATCCCTTGCAATACATAGTTTTCTTTTACTTAAACTTTCAGTATTTATTTATTTATTTTGAAAAATTTAATACCCTTGCTGTAGCATGATTATAATAAAGAACATAAAGAAACGAAAAATTTCGAATGGAACGAAGATCTTGTGTAATAGATAAATATTAAATTTTCTAAATATAATGATAATGCTAGTCTCGAAAGTGTTGGTTTTAGGATAAAAAAGAATTTATAAAATCTAACCTTCAAGTGTGAAAAACAACGCACAAATAACTGAAACATATTTGAAAGATTATAAACGAAGAGAAAATCTCTAATATAGCCCATAATTATTAAGTAAACTATAATTATTAGGTTTATTAAAAATGTTCTTAGAGTTAAATCCTTCAAAATGTTTAAGATTAAAAACGTAATACAAAAGAAACAACAGCCTGAGATATCATTTTTTTGCCTCATTCAAGAAATTTTCGGAAGGTATTAACTTTTAGATTACTTAACTTAACTTTTATATATTAAAAATTTCTTTCTTTCAACCGCATGCATTATAGTCCCGGTGTTTTCAGAAGTTGAAAGCTGCAGGCTTTCCTGCATCATACATTGGTTTCTTTCTTGCGTTATTCAAAGAAAAACTATCTGTAACTGGGAAGTTTCATTGTAGATCTGATCAGGACACAATTTTCGGAAGATTTATAACAAAAAATTAAATAGTATCCTGCTTCGTAACGTTGAAGCCCATTTGTATATACAATTCCCGACAAGTTGACAAATGAAATAACCAATGCATTTTTTAATAAAAGTGGAATCTGCTTTATAAAATATTAAATAATGGAAATTTGGAAATAAAAGTAAAATATAGCTGACCTTCTTGCCAATTTCCTGCCGCTACTGGCTGATAATCTTCTCTTCTCCAAGATATCGTTGGCGATGGATAACCTTTTGCTTTACATACTAATGTTACATCTGAACCTTCCCGCGCAAGAACGTCTGAACTTGAATCTGTATCGATTATGTCTGGTGGAACTGAAATAGAAATTATAGGAATTAATACAATAATATAAAACTTTTTATTATTTTTTCTATGAGAAAAATAAAAACTTTAATTTATATTTTTAAATGCAACACCAAAAGCTAGTTATATCAGTTATATCATCATTTTAGTTGTATCATCGAAAGATACTTTTTATTAAATATTTAAGTTTTTCATTTCCCCTTTTAACTTTTTTAAAATTATTTTTGTAGATAAGAAACCTGTCATTTGGAAGTTAAATAATGTCCTTTTTGAAGGGAAAATAATTTTTTCATTCACGTACCCTTCTGTCTTTCAATAAAAGAGATCTTTAACACATTTCGTCAAAAAATATTTGACATTTTTCATTACTTTTTAAGAATTTGTTCTCATTATTGTTCGATGAAACACATGTTTTTGTTGCATTGTTTGTTGTTGTAACACATGTATTGTTTGATGTTGATTGCACCTATGCCATTTTTAAGGTCTATCCAGTGTACTTCATTAAAAAAATATACATATATTCTGACAAAATCTTAATACTCGATATACTTTAGTTGAAATTAATATTTAAATATGTTAATATGGAGAAATTTAAAAAAAAATATTTTTACATTGTTCGCTTTTGTATATGCCTCCCACGTAAAACGCATGTCGTTGAAAGCTTGCTTTTTTGTATAGAGAAATATTTTTTACATTTCCCTGAAGAAAAGTTCTGACATTTTCGAAAACCTTACAGAATCATTTTAATTATATTTTTTATACTTTTAGTATATTTCACGCATTGTAATCTGAATTATTGGATGTCTGAATTATGTACTATCAAAATAGTTTAAATATATATTATTTAAACCTCATAAGCAATTATTACAAATATTGGAAAATATATTTTTAATGATTTTTGATCCACACATGTTAATTTTGTACTCAAAGAAAGAATAGCAATACAATATTTTGATTTATTCCACTAAATTAGTGCTCTGTGCAACTATTGGTGTTGACGTAGTCGAAACTAGTAGTCGATGAAGTCTTTGGTCTAAATTAAGCTATCTAAAAAAGGTTTTAGGGTTGATGAACCAACATCCAATAGGTAGTTGTATATATATATATATATATATATATATATAGCTATTTTTTAAAGAAATTGATNGTTTAAAACTTTTTTTTCTTAATATATATATAACTACCTACTGGATATTAAATTGTATAAAAACGGAAAAAAAAGTTGTAAAATTTATCAACCTTGTTGATAGAAAGGCGAGGATACTTGATTTTATAATTTTTATTAGGGTGTAATTAAAGTGTGGTGAGGCAAAAACTTTTTCAAGCACTCTCATCTAACAAATTTGATAAGATATGAGTTACTTCTAAACTTTGAGCTTCAAATTTGTGGACTTTAGATGCATTTTGTAAATTATATTATAAATGATATTATTTTATAAATTATTTCATTCTCCCTTAATTGACCTGAAGTTTGACCTCTCTCCCAAGGTGAACTTTAGCTGAGATTTTGAATATACTGAGGAAGAGAGGAGCTCAAAAGGGAATAGAGCCTTAAACTTTACAATATAGGCAAGTGAGGTATTTATTTACACTAAACCGGGTGACAAAAAAATTAATTTGATCAGGTTTATTGTTCAAAAGATATAAGGGATATACTAAATACGAAACTACGAAATATTGAACCAAATCCGAAATATTTAAAAATTAGTTCGATTGACTTATTTATAATTTTTTTAAATTTGATGTAAACAAAATATATATGAAGCAGTGTCTCTCTTATTCAGGTAAAAATTTCATATGCACAAACTTGCACAAATACGCATATTTAATTTTTTCGAACGGAACTTTTATTACTCTTTTAACTTTAAACATTTATACTCTAAATTCTATATATTTGATTTAATTAAGCGTAAAAAATACATACGATTCAATATTTTGCAATCTCAGAAGCCTAAAGAGTGAAGTTAAAAAGTGCAAAACTATCCCTTTTTTATAACATACAGACATTATAAGCTATAGAAATATTAGTTCTGTCGACAGCATTTTAATATACAGCATATATATATATATATATATANTATAACGAGCAGGAAAACGTTAACGTTTTCTCTACATTTTGAACTATATATATATACAGGATGTCTCAGTTAAGAGTTTCAAAACTTCTAAGAGTGGTAGGGTGCATCCTGACCACTCTAAATCATATAGCAATGCGGGGTCGGAAGTGCTTTCCTGAAGCGGTAATGTACACAGACGCTCCATAAAGAAAAGAGACGGTCTGTGAAAAATCGTTTTAATAAAGCATTGAAATAAGCTTAAGGTACATGGGTCAAAGTAAGTGCCACCGGCTGCAATGCACACCTCACATCTCCGGCGTATGGACATCCGAACATTCTGCAATACTCTTGGCATATCGCAAATTTCTCCGGCAGCTACTGCGATTCTTACAACCACCTCCTCAGCATTGTCAACAGGGGTGCCATAAGCCAGTGTTTTCATATGGCCCCAGAAATAAAAAGTAAGACATGATAGGTCGGGTGACCGAGGAGGCCATCTTACTGGAAAACTCGGAAGTTTCGTACAACGCCATCTACCGCCTCTTGAAAGCATTTGAGACCCCACATTGCCGTATGATTTCGAGTCGTCAGGACGCACTCTACCCCTCTTAGGAGTTCTGAAACGCTTAACTGAGACACCCTGTATATACCATCGAGTCATTAAGATTGATTCCTTGAACGTGAAGATACTATCTAATAGGAGATTCGACAGAAGATAGATATAAAGTTTTGCAGGATGGTTCTTTTATTTAGTTAAAACAACATAAATGAATCTAGATTCTTGGGTTTGACTATTCCAAGAACTAATTTTAGTGTTAGGTAAAGTGAAACACCAAGAATGTTCCTTACACCACTTAGTGTAAGGTAGGCACCATCATTTTTGTTATTCAGTAACTTTAAAGTTTATAACAGTTACATATGATGCGAATATGAGTTAGTAAAGTAATTTTTTTAAACACAGTATAAATAAAGTATCATTAAGATACATGCGTACAAGATTCTTTAAAATTTGTTATGTTAATTAAACATGCAAGCAAACACAGAGAAAATATTATTATGAATTCGTACTAGGTTTAAAATAACCAAAGCGGATAGAAAATTAATAAAATTTATAAAATTACTTAATTTAGAAAGTTATTTTATTTATAAAATTATTTAATGCAATTGTCAGATTTATGTAGGTTTTCCTATGAGAATTGTGGTGCTAATATAGGCATTACTTATTTCCTAGTTTTTATTTTTATTCCTCGGTATTTTTCAAATTTGATTTTCTTTACTATTCTGAATCCTATTTTAATTAAATTAATTTTTATCATAATTCATAAAATGTAAAAATATGTACTTTTATTCTTCTTTTAACAATTAATGTATCGGATAACATTTTAATTCAATACAAATGTATAACGCATAAATTCAGTGTCGTGATCAATCGAATACCAAAATTTTTTTAACTCTATTTTTTTAACTGCTTCTTTTCTCTAACCATGAAAATGTTTCAGTTATAGAGTTATATTAAATTGTATTGCTCATTTTGATCACTAAACTGAAGCCAGATCATTTAAAATTTAACATGAATAACGCGATATTGGTTAAATTTTTTTTTTTTTTATTTATTATCTATTTGTATTATCTATCAATCACCATAGTTTGGATATCTCTCCATACTTTTACTGGTAATTTGAATTTCTTCGTGTTAAGACGTGTCTTATGGATGTCTTATGACTCTTCAGTCCGACGGCAAAAAGCGTTTCAAAATTGTTAATAACAATCGATGCCGGAAAAAAAAACTGTTTTAGCGTATGTAAAGCAGATGCTTAGTATTATACTTTTGAATATAATGTGTTTTTGAAGTCTTAAAAATGACCATGCTTGTCAATTTTATAGATGCTAAATAATAAAGAATGATGTTTTTCTTTGATCATATCTCAGCAGTTCCCCTTTTTTTGGTACAAAAGCATTATGCAAATATTTACACAGCATGATACAACGTAAAAATAAATTCATAGGTGACAATACCTTATTTGTATATAAATTAGTGTTAAAATATCTCACTCTCTCAACACCTAAGTAAATTCAAGATGGTGACTAAAGCTCACCTAAGTCGAGGGGATAAGCTTTTGGTTTAAATAGTGGATCTAAACTATTGCGAGCTTCCCCCTAATTATTTCAGCGCTGAACATTTTTAGAAACACTGGAACTGGCTTACTAAGCTTACTGATAAAATATGTTACTCTTTAAGGTCTTTTCCTTTACGGGCAGCAAATTTTGATTGAAGATTTTTGACGTACAGCATACTAGCAATTGAACCTTTTTTGAGACACAGGAACTTATCTACTAAGTTAATTGGTCAAATATTATGTACTTTTTCGTTTTACCGTTACCGACGCAGCAAATTTTAATTGAAATTTTTTTTGACAGGCAGCACACTAGCAATTAAATCCTTTTAAGGACACGAGAACTGATCTACTAAATTTATTCGCAAAATATGTAACATTTTTTGGTTTAACACTTTACGGCGCAGCAAATTTTAATTGAAAATTTTAGACAGGCAGCACACTAGCAATTACGACCGTAGATCGTAAATTCTAATAAAGAGATATGCTTGAGCTTCATGTTGTTTAAAGAATAGTAGTTGCCGAAAACGGTGGATGTTTAAAAGCAAATAGTTTTACATTATTCGTTATTTAAAAAATATTTTTGAATAAGTGATGCCAGACTAGCAACACTTTGTCGGAAACTGTTGACGAGTTTTGTCGTGTTTTCATTTGTTTCTGCTTCACTACATTTCCATCTAAATTGAAAAGTTTCTGTTGAATTACAGCATTAAGCAGCTTTTGTAAATACAATATAAATCATAAATATAGCACAGCAACCATATATTGTTTTTGAATAATGAAGTTGTTATCTGAGATAAATTTTGATTTAGTAGAGTAGATTTAAAGGTGAAAAATAAA